TAATGCCATCACTTTGGAATCTGGAATTTTTGCCATTTTGGTTGCAATGAAGTTCCATTTCTAACTTTAAAATTCAGAATTCTGGGCCCTTGCTGTTGGTGAATCTGGTGCTCATATAATATTTAAGGGTATTTCAAAGAGAAAGTGCATTTTTTCCCAAGTACTCTGTACCCATTACACCTTGCAGTCTTTTTGTTTCATTGTATAAATAAATATTCTGTAGCTATTGTTATCCAAAACATGTTTGAGGTATATTATACCTGGAATTTTCGTTTTTCTCCTCACACGTAGTATTTCATAGTATCTGGTATAGAAATAACAAAGATGCCAAATGTGTAGAGTTTGAAGGAAAGAGGAGGATAACATCTAGCTGTGCTGCTTTTGTTTACTAGACTTAGTTGTTAATAATATTTCTTGTATTTTGTTTGGGGGCTCTTTTTGGGTTTTGGTTTTGGAAAAGGTAAATTTTCATCATTGAATCATATGACATGGAGGTAAGACTGAGGGGGAGGGGAACTGCTCAGCTATTCTTACACTGAAATTGTTATATAAGCCAACATGAGATGTTAAGACTGTCACGTAATTGGTGGGATTAAGTTTACTGTTTTATTTTTATAAATATATATTTTTTTTCTGAATGTGTCTGAGTCCAAGAGTGGGCAAAAAATTAATTTTCTGCTTCAGGTTAATCTATAAAGATTTTGAAAGTTTGTATTACTAACTTGTTGAATTCATGACACCACTTGTAAATCTTTGTTTTTCTAAAATAAAGTTATTGAAAACATGAAAAAAAAATTGGCACCTCTATGGGATGGGCACTGCACCACAGTGCCAGTCCTAGTTTTACTTTGTAATTGTTGAATTTTTTTATTTAGTGGGACCATTAAGTCTTGGAACATAATATATGTAAAATGTTATCTCTAAAATTAAAAATTAAAGAAATAAGTAGTTTAGATATAGAATCTTTTAAAAATTTTTTTTGACAGGCAGAGTGGACATAGAGAGACAGAGAGAAAGTTCTTCCTTTTGCCATTGGTTCACCCTCCAATGGCTACTCCGTGCTGATCTGAAGCCAAGAACCAGGTGCTTCTCCTGGTCTCCCATGCGGGTGCAGGGCCCAAGGACTTGGGCCATCCTCCACTGCACTCCTGGGGCATAACAGAGAGCTGGCCTGGAAGAGCGGCAACTGGGACAGAATCCGGCACCCTGACCGGGGCTAGAACCTGGTGTGCCAGCACCACAAGGCAGAGGATTAGCCTAGTGAGCCATGGCGCAGGCCCGAATCTTTTAAATTTTTTTATTTGAGAGACATAAAGAGAGAGCCTTATACAGCAAATATGCAGGGACATTTTGAATTGTTTGCATACTTTCTAGGAATTTATGGGCACAAAACTTTCTCTTGTGAAATATGAAATCCTTTTAAATCATATGGCAAGTTCTTTAATGTTATTACTTCTAATAATTAACTATATTCTTGCAAATTATATTTTTAATGGTGGTATGGTAGTGTATGCTATGGAAATTTGATTTTTATAAATTTGAATGTTGGATTATTTTAATTTTTTAGTATTATAAAAATGCTGCAACAAACATTGTGTAAATATTTCTTTTTACATTTTTTGACAAGACATTGTATTTGCCTTGAAACTGGTACAGCAAGAATTTCTTCTTTTTTTTTTTAAATTTTAGCTCCCACATAAAAGGGAGAACATGCAGTATTTATCTTTTGGTGTTGGTTTATTTCTCTCAACATGATGTCCTCCAGTTGTAACCATTTTGATGCAAAGATAGAATTTCATTATTTTTCTATCTGAATAATAATCCATTGTGTGTGTGTGTGTGTGTGTGTGTATCACATTTTCTTCATCTATTTTTCTGATGACAGATACCTTGGTTGGTTCCCTATCTTACCTTTTGTGAACAGTGCTGCCCTAAATAATGTTGGTACAGGTATTTCTTGGATACATTGTGTTCATGTCTTGGATATATGCCCAATGGTGGGATTGCTGGGTCATATGGTAAATCTATTTCTAGGTTTTTATGATATTGCCAGTTTTACAGTTTTTGCACTACTTTGCATTCCACAGTGTATAAGAGTTCCCCTTTCTCCATATCCTCGCCAGCATTTGTTACTCTTTGTCTTGTGGAAAATAGCTGTTCTATCAGGGGTGAGGTAGTATGTTATTGTGGTTTTGATTTGCATTTCCCTGATGCCTGATAATTTTGAACATTGTTTCTCATAGTTGTTTGCCATTTTTGTTTCTTCTTTTGAGAACTTTCTGGTGAGGTCCTTCTTTTGCCCATTTCTTTACTGGATTGATTATTTTCCTATCATTGAATTTTTTTTTATATCCTGGATAGGTAGCTTACAAATATTTCCCATTGTTTTGGATGTCTCTTCACTCTGTTTTTTCTTTCAGTTGATGTACAGAAGCTTCTGAGTTTGATATAATCCCATTTTTTCTAGTTTTGGTTTTATTGCCTGTGATTTGGGGGTCATATGCAAGAAAAATGTTTCTTTACATGTCCAAGTATTTTACATTGAAAAAAAAATGCTTCAGTATAAATTAATGGGTTAAATTCTAAGAAGCTTTTAAAACATCTGACTAATTTTCTAAATGGCTCTCAAAATTAATATTAATTTATAATTCCACCAGAACATGTGATATCTATTTTTTCCCAACCTAGAATGGTTTTTGACTCCTATTGGTTTATTCTTAACGCATATAGAGTGAGAATGAGGGGACGTGATTACTGATTAGTTTTCCAAAACCTTTTCATGCATAGAAAAAACAACCTCTATTGTATTTCTAATAATTACATGTATGTTTATAAATCATAACTTATTAGTGATTAGTTAACTGTCTTTCCTAATTGATGGTAATTAGGACTATGCAAAGAAAAGGCAATTTTTAACTTTTAATTTTACTGGATAATTTCAAAATTGCTTTTGTATAATATTTATCAGAGGTACTGATAACAAATTTACCATTTATCAAAGTGTTCTTTCAAGCATATCTGTCTTTTGAAGAAGAGATTGAAGTGAGACATAAGAAACATAATAATTACAAAGAAAAATATTTGATATAAAAATGTATTAGAATATATAAGCTTCTTAATAGGAGCCAAATTACAAAATGAACATTTTCTTTTCTAACAAAATGAATACTAAGATAAGGATTTTTACCTTAAGAATAAGAGAACAGATAAGTCAACAACAGGAGTCACTGTGCACTTACTCCCCATGTGGGAATCCATGTCCTTAATGTGTTGTACAATGTGAATTAATGCTATAACTAATACTCAAACAGTATGTTACACTTTGTGTTTCTGTGTGGGTGCAAACTGTTGAAATCTTCAGTTAATATATACTAAATTGATCTTCTGTATATAAAATGGTTCTTCTGTATATAAAATTCATTGAAAATGAATCTTGGCCGGCGCTGTGGCTCAATAGGCTAATCCTCTGCCTGCGGCGCCGGCACACCGGGTTCTAGTCCCGGTAGGGGCACCAGATCCTGTCCCGGTTGCCCCTCTTCCAGTCCAGCTCTCTGCTGTGGCCCGAGAGTGCAGTGGAGGATGGCCCAAGTCCTTGGGCCCTGCACCTGCATGGGAGACCAGGAGAAGCATCTGGCTCCTGGCTTTGGATCAGCACAGAGCGGCCTTTGGAGGGTGAACCAACGGTAAAGGAAGACCTTTCTCCCTGTCTCTCTCACTATCCACTCTGCCTGTCAAAAAAAAAAAAAAAAAAGAATCTTGATGTCAATGGAATGGGAGAGGGAACCGGAGAGGGGAGGGTTGCGGGTGGGAGGGAAGTTACGGGGAGTGGGGGGAACACTGTAATCCAAAAGCTGTACTTTGGAAATTCATACTTATTAAATAAAAGTTAAAATAAAAAATAAGGGTAAAAAAGAATAAGAGAACAGAATAAATGCTGATGTGTTCTATGAAAAAACTAGGGAACAGTTAGGGAGAATCAAGGAGCAATATTGCAGAGAAGTAGAGATGAACAAACATCTTGAACTGACGGTTAGCATAATAAAAACAGAATTGAGGACTTTGAAAAATGATTTGAATCTGGTAAATTAATTGTTGCTAGAAATTTACATTTCTAAATTTAATCATTACTAAGTATTATGTTGCCTTCATTTCATCTATATATATATTATATATATATAACATATGTAAGCAATCTAAAATTTATTTTAAAAATAAATTATGATATGTTTTCTAAAATTATTCATTGTAGAGCTTGGCACCTACTGGTACTCAGTGCATGTTTTCTCTATAAAGCAATGAAAGGTGAATTGAGTTCAACCATTCACATACAGCTTGATTTAGCCATGTTTATATTAAAATTCAGGCTAAATAGCTGTGAAATTATAATAAAATTATTTAAATGTTTTGTAAAGAAACTTTATTTTACAGTTTCATCATTGCCTGAATTTGAGAACTGTTTTTGCTATTTGATGACTTTAGCTGTGATTCATGACATTTTTTGTTAAATTTTTAAAATATTTTATTTATTAATTTGAGAGGTAGGGTTGCAGACAGTGAGAGGGAGAGACAGAGAGAGAGGTCTTCCTTCCATTGGTTCACTCCCCAAATGGCTGCAACAGCCAGAGTTATGCCAGTCCAAAGCCAGGAGCCAGGAACTTCATCCAGGTCTCCTACATGGTTGCAAGGACCCAAGGACTTGGGCCATCTTCTGGTGCTTTCCTGGGCCACAGCAAAGAGCTGGATGGGAAGTGGAGCAGCTGGGACTAGAACTGAAACCCATATGGGATGCCAGTGTTACAGGTGGAGGATTAACCTACTGTGCCACCGCACTGGCTCCATGAAATTAAAAATTAATTATTTCCTGTAAGATACAGGCCCTGGAGCTTTGGTAGGTTGCTTCCTCTTAACAGAATTTTTAAAAAATTGTCACTCTTAAATAAGCCGTTAAACTATTTTTCCTGAAAGCCATGACATGACCAACTTATGAAATATGTCTTTAGGTGAGAGAACAGGAAAACAATCCCCAGAGTTCTCTCTCAAGCCAAGAGAATGCAGAAAAACTACAAGATGAAATGCAGCTGATTCACCTTTGCCAAAAAAAAGAGGTAGACATTGCACCAAAGGAAGAGATTATGAGGTATTTTTCTTTATTTGTTGTCAAATATGCATGTGTATGTTTTCATATGTGTAGATCTATACAACCGCTTGCATCATGGAACATATAGGACACTTTTAATCCAAATATGTATGTATTTTGTAGAAATAGTGGTGGTGGTGACATTTTCAGCCAGTTTGGTAATGTCATGTTAATTCAACTGCGCTTGTCTGTGACTCTCTGAGAGTGGCATTTGCTATGTCCTCTGGGATCCTTGTTCTTTGCAAAAGAAATTACCTGAATTTGCTGCTGGCTACTTTTCTTAGCTTGCTTCTTCTCCATAAAACCTTCAAGGTTCAGACATCTCTGTCTACTCATAATTATTTCTGTCTGTTTTAATGCAAGCTGCAAAAATGTATTTCATTTAGTTTTTTAAATTCATTTTTAAAATTTTATTTTAGGTATACAAAATTATTGTATTCCAGGTACACAGATTTAGGAACATACTGATGCTTCCCACCTACCCTCCCTTCTGCTCATGCCTCCACCATTCCATCTCCTTCCTTTCCTATTCCCTCTCTTAACTTGTGTACTGATCTACTTTCAGTCTATTTATACTCAAAATATTTACCGTACACTAAGAGTTCAACAAATAGCAAGAAGACACTGTTCCTAGTAGTAGAGAGCTGTTAGTAATCATCAATGGTCAGATATCAATTTTCACTCCCATATATTACATTTTTGGTATTTGTCTTTTGGGGACTGACTTATTTCACTAATTAGAATGGTTTACATTTGAACCCATTTTGTTGCAAAACACAGTATTTTGTTTCTTTTTAAGGCTGAGTAGTATTCCATGGTGTGTGTGTGTGTGTGTGTGTGTGTATGTATGTGTGTATATATATGTATATATATACACACATACATAGAGTTTCTTTACCCATTCATCAGGTGATGAACATCTGGTTAGATTCCATATCTTAGCTATTGTGAATTGAACTGCAATAAACATGAGGGTAAAGATAAATCTTTCATATGCTGATTTCATTTCCCTCAGGCAAATTCCTAGTAATGGGATTGCTGGGTCTTACGGCAGATCTATTTTTCAGGTTTCTAAGGTATCTCCACACTGACTTCCACAATGGCTGTACTAGTTTGTATTCCCACCAAAAGTGGATTAGGGTATCTTTTCCCTTACATCCTCACCAGCACGTGTGTGTTTATTTTTCAAGCTCATGAAACATTTTATTGTACATAATAAAAGTGGTATTTTTTAAAAATAATTTCCAGGCCAAATCTGCAGGAATACATGAGGAATGGATTCCACTGAAGTATAATTAGCAATACTTTATGGAATGCATCATTAATCCACTCCACTTCTCATAGTAAATACAAATGTTCACTATAGACTTGAAATTCCTATAACATCAGTAATTCTATTCTTTAAAACTGGAATGGCATACCATATGTAATCTCAGCTTTTCTAATTTACAACCATTAAGAATTACAGTATATCCAAATAATGCATTTTAAAATTGTATATGACTCATTAGTAAGATATTTTTCTACTCAATAAATAGGAAAATTTGAATTTTAATATTACATTGAATTTCATCACTTTTCAAGAAAAAAACTGAGTCATAAGTTCAGGATTTTTTTTATAAACAAATACTGACAGCAGTATTTTTATAACAGAAAATTATAAAAAAACAAATATGCAGCAAAAGGATAAATATCTAATCTATTCTTAAAATGGAATAGCCTACAAAACTAAAATGAATACACTATGGCCACATGCAATAATGCACAAGTCTTCAAAATGTTGAGTGAAGCAGGACACAATTCATGATGTATGTTCATATATAAAACATGCAAAAAACTACTTTATGACATTATAAGCCAGGGAAGTGGTAATCTTTGGAGGAAAAGCTAGCTACTCTTTATTACACAGAGTACAATGAGGAAGAGTTCAGAGATATTTTTTTTCTTTTCAAGAGAGACTGATGCTTATAACCACTTTATAATTTGCCTCTGCATGTATTTTTTAATAAAGTATGAATTAAAACTTTAAAAAATAGTTCATAGCTGGTAAGAGTTCACTAACAATGATTACACCCATTTCATACACTAGTAAACAGTAGTTATGTAATATGGTACTTAATAATCAGGATTATGTTTGTGATTAAAATTACATAAACATGTAAAACATGCTTTCTTTAAGAAACCCTAAAAGTTAAAAATAACTTTGGAATAATTCACAAAGTAATCAAATAATTTACTGCATTTCCATCTTTTCTGCTTTATGAGTTCTCTGATGGAAAATGACATTAACCTTATAATGAAAGAACTTAAACACTCATTGCAAACTTCTCACCTGTGTGAGTTCTCTGCTGTACAATGAGATTGGTCTTCTAGTGGAAGCACTTTCCACATTCATTACATTTATATGGTTTCTCTCCCATGTCTGTTCTTTGATGATGAATGAGATATGACTTCCTACTAAAAACTTTGCCACTTTGAGGACATTCATAGGATTTCTGCCCTGTGTGTATTTTCTGATGTACAGTGAGGATTGCTTTCTGGCAAAAGAACTTCCCACATACATTACAGATACAGAGTTTCTCCCCTATGTGAATTCTCTGATGTAGAATGAGATTTGTCCTCTGACTGAATGACTTCCCACGTTCATTACATTCATATGTTTTCCCCCTGTATGAGTTCTGTGGTGATCAGTGAGGTATGACTTCATTATAAAGGCCTTCCTACACTGAGGACATTCATAAGATTTCTCTCCTGTGTGTGGTCTCTGGTGTTGCTACAAGGGTTGTCTTTTGGCAGAAAGACTTTCCACATTCATTACTAATGTAAGGTTTCTCCTCATTAAGAGTTTTCTCATGAAGAGCAAGGGTTGTCTTTTGGGAGAAGGATTTCCCATATTCATTACAAATATATGGCTTCTCCCCTGTATGAGTTCTCTTTTGGACAGTAAGATTTGCCTTTTGGTGAAAGGACTTCCCACATTCTTTACAAATTTTGAGTTTCTCCTCAGTGTGAATCCCCTGATGTAGAGACAGTGTGGTCTTCATTGCTTTCATACGGTTTCTCTTCTGTATTCTCTGACTGAGGTGTGACTTCAGTCTGAAGGCATTCCGACATTAGGAACATTCATATGCTATCTCCCCTGTATGTGTTCTCTGGTGATCAGTGAGGGCTGTCTTTAAATGGAAAAGACTTACCACATTCACTACAAAGGGTTTCTCTCTTGTGTGAGTTCTTTGGTGATCAATGAGATATTACTTCCTTCTGAATGCATTTCCACATTGATGGCACTGATAAGGGTTTTCCTCTGTGGAAATTCCCTGATGTAGAATCAATACTGACTTCCTGCAAAAGTATTTCCCATATTCAGAGCATTATTATTTTTAATATTAGTTGCTCTTCTCTTTTTATTGTACACAGATGAGCTTTTCCCCTCTGTATGCTCTGCTATGTGTAATTGTAATTAAGCCTCCCGTTTAAAGGAATTATTTCTCACTGCATCATGTCCAAATGACTGACTGGAGTTCTCGTCTTCTGATACTGTATAAGCCCTTCATTATGACTGAAAGCCCTAACACTTTGATTATTGGATTTGACTTGAGGATCAATTTTCTCTTGCTTTGTACTGAGGGGTGATTTCCCATGTCCATTTTACTCACTGAGTCTCTTTCTTGCTGAACTTAGATTACTGATGATCGATTTTGAAACACTTTCCAAAATCTTTCCATGAATATCATTCAGGAGGTAAGATTTTTGAATTATCAGGATTTTTGCCTAGAGTGATTGACTTTGACTTTTCATATATGTTACTCTTCTCTTTAATTGGTTTCTTATAGTCGATGCATACAATTGATCTAGAATATTTATCGTTATGTTCCTTGAATTTCACTGAAAAGTCTTTGGTTTTCTGGTTCTCTTCTAAAGTGTGACCTACAAATGGTGTCCATGGCTCTTCTCCTTATTCCAATTTGAGGATCATTCAGACTTGGTCGTGTGACACTGCACAGAGATGAAGTGCCAATAGTTTTCCAACATGATGTCCATGTAAAGAGTCTGCTGAGCAGGAACTAGGTGCTGCCACTCTTCTTGAGTAAAGTCCACAGTCACACATTTGAATGACACTCATCCCTGTTCCATGGTTTTGAGGTTTTCAAGAGATTACCAGTCTTTTCTTTGGGCTCCTCTTTAGAAAAGGGGTGGTTCCTGAGCACTCGATGAGGATTCCATGGATGGAGGCTGCCTGGATTGCCTGGGATCCTCTCCAACTGGGACAAATAAGACCCACCAGTGTGTGGGGGCCACAACATGCTTACAGGAAGAACTGAGGAGGCAACTGGAGAAGTTTCCCGCAACAGCTGTCTCAGAAGAGATGACTTACACTAAATTATAATGTTACCAGTCTTGTTAGCCTCCTCTTGTCCTTGACTTTTGTCTTGTCTTCCCTTTCCATTTTCCCTATCCATCTGAGCTGGAGATAATCCACCTTTGGCCAAGTGTCAGCAGCCTGAACCTGTGTACTCTTGTGTGGACAGTAATTGTGGGTTCAGAATTATATGTATTACAGTTTGCCTTGTTATAACACATTGGTGCCTTTATGATAAAAATAACTCAGGGACACGTGAAATTCAAGCTAATTTACATAGCTGTCACAAGAAAAAAAACCACTAAATTTCTGAAGTATTATTTTCATTTAATTTCAGAATCTTAAAACAGAATTCGACCTTGGCATTGTTTAGCAAAAGTTTAGTTAAACACTAAGTTGGCTAAATAACCTTCTTGAAAGGTTTAAACACAATGGATAGAGAAAAATGCTTTCCCTCTAATCATCTTAAAGAAATGGAAGAGGTGAGGGAGAAGGCAAATGATTTCTGCAGCAGTATATATGGCTAAATCCATCAACCACCTTAAACTAGAATTTTTATTATTGACCTCATTTAAGAATAATTGTGCAAATATAAAAAATTGCCCATTTTCTAAACTGAAAACAATTGTAAAGTTACAGT